CGTTATACCGCAGAAAAAAAATTAAATCACTGCGGAAATGGTTTTTAAACGTTAACATAGCTTTTCTTCAAATATTTATCCGCAAAACATGTATTTTTATTATTATTTTGTAGAAGTTATTTTAATAATCCWAATTAAAAATAATGATTAAATGATTAACTAAACTATATCTATTGTTTTGGAGAATTTATGATTTTCAGGGTGTCAGAGCTGACTTTTCAAATTGTCCACAATATTTAAATTATTAAAATAATACTTAAAATATTTTCTCTCTTATCCACCTATCCACTATCTGATACATAATATATTTTAGAGTGATTGATACGATGTACACATATTATATAAAAAATAAAAAAAATTACTTCACATGAAAAACTCTCACGCTTATATAGTTGATATGTCAGACTTTAATTATTTTATTTTTAACTGAAAGATGATGACTTTTTACAAGTAGGATCAAAACCAAGATTTTTGATTGATTTACTTTAAATAGTGTTAGATAGATACTTTTGAAAAATACTAAATATTTAGCTTGCAAAGTTATAATTATTAAAATCAGGCTTTGGTCCTAATTCCAAAATGTTCTTTTCTTTTAAATGTAATAAAAGTTAATAAAATCCAACTACCTACTCTATTACGGGGCGTGAGTTTTTCCTGAAAGACATGTTTTTGTTCTAAAACCTCACTGACTTTTATATAATTCATAGGCATAATTTATCAATAATTAAAATTTGTTTTACATTTGATAATGACTTGTGAGTAAACTTCTAAACAAAACTATTCTTATTTGAAACATTAAATTAATCTTATATAGCTTTTTTGAATTTTTAAAGGACTGAGAAATATTAGTAATTTAGGTATTTTTGTGGTGTGTATCATGTATATTATATATCATTTATTATTAGCTAACTAAACTTATAAACTCAAAAATGTGATTCACGATAACTATTAATATATTATGACTATAGTACGTAACTACGAGTATCTAGGTAATGTTTTAATATATGGGTCACGTGTTGGCAATTTTTCTAGATTGTATAAGTAGCAAATTTTAACCATTAGTTACATTCTTATTATTTATTACTATTAGCGATGAAAATGTTCAAATATCATAATTTATTATAATTTTAAATATTATAATGATTTATTCGTTTTTACTATGTATGAAACAAGGTAAAGAGACAAGACATATTATGAATTACGGTATAACATATTATGATACATAATATATATATATATATATATATGAATTGTTTTACAGTAAAACGTATGTCGTGTAAGTACATCTAACCTGTAATTTATACTCAATAAAAAAAATAATAATTTAAAAACAATAGACATACAAATTTATCTCGTACAGTCGTACTTATATTATAAAATTGAATTGTTATGAACTTAAATTTAATAACAATTATTTCTAAAAATGATTATCTAACAATTTTCTGTGAAAATAATAAAATAATAATAAATAGTTTTAATTTATATTTTAAAATGCACTAGTTTTTAAAATTATTCTAATCAATAATAATTGGTAATTAACACAGGACTAATTAAAAGTATGGTTGTATTTCCGTTAATCAACTAATTAAACAAAATTTAATTATCTAAATATTGTGTTTATATTTGATCACAATATCGTACATTAGTATAAACGTTTTAAAAATTTAAACTTTTAAATAATAGTAAATGCAGGTAGGTAGTTTTTTTTGTACACGTAYCAACTCTTAACAGTGTTTTTATGCAACGCCATCAAAGCATGTAGACACAAACAACGCCATTTGTGTTTGACGTTTGCTGTATCAATGTATACAATTTGTAGTACCTATTTATAATTTGTTGTTTTTTATAATTAATAGTAGAATTAAATATTTACCTAAACAAATAAAATAACAATCATTTGATCGCTTATAAGCCACTGTGCTGTTTAATTGTAAGTGTTACGTACAACTCGTACAAGTGATTTGGCTGAGTTTGAATGAATTATGAATAGGTAGTAACTACTATTTTGTAGTAGGTACCCGATTGTTATGCTGCGAGTTTCTTTTATGAAACTTGATTTTTATAAACTTGATAATTCATAATATTGATGATTTGATATATTTATACAGGTACAGCTTGCCAATTCTTTAAACGTACGATCGGCCAATATCACTTGTTTCTGTTAACATTTAATTATTTAAATAATTTCAAGATATAAAATTAAAAATATTCTTTGTAATAAATTAACTATATGTCTATACCAACTCTATTATATAATAATATGTAATGAATTATAACTTGATAATTGATAGGAATATGTAAAAATTTTTGAAGTTCATAAGAATGCTATACTCAATCATATAAAGTGTAAATATTATATTATAAGTATGAAATATTTTGAGAAATATGCAAAAAACTAGGTTTTATATTTCAAATCTACTCGTAAATAATTTAAATATAGAGAAGTGTAATATAATTATTCGTATTAAAATAATCACTCTGTATACATCTGCATATATTGTAGAATTACTAAAATTGGTGGTAACAAAAAATATAATTAATTAAGTAAATTAAATATTTAATTCACCGATTAAATTTTAAACGAGAGTTATTATTTCTTGCATGGATATAATATACGTCATATAATTAATGTAAAAAGACTTAGACCTGTCCGTAAAATTAATTGTGTTGTTACGAGTGGTTTTTTTTTTGTTTATACTAACTTTGACACGCACATTCAATAGGCTTTAACAACCTATATCATTTAAATACGATGGAAAACACTTTACGTTTTCTTCTCCAGGTACAATCTAAATTATATCTAAAATAAGTTAAAGACGAAAATTCTAATATTGTTATGACATTGACCTAATTATACTGTGTGCTTGCATTCTATGCTTACTGTATCAGTGTTATATATTTTAGATACTGAAAGAAGCTGCAGGTTTTTGTAATCTAACATTTTATAATTWATTAACTTCTTCTAAAAACTTTTTATGAGCTGGAAAATACCAAAAAGTTCCACACAGTCCTTTTATGGAACGGAATTCAATGAAAATTATACCTAAACACTTTAAAAATATAATTTTTTTAAATTAGTTGGTAGTACATCACAGTAGGTTTCTCGGGTAAAAAAATAATGTACCTAATACAAAAATGTCCTATAACAGTCAGGTTACAAGTTGGTATTCCTATTAATTAATTTCAATAATAGTTAATTAATTGTTAAATATTCATAGACTAGCATTTGGCCAGAAAAATATAACTGGTAGTTAATAGCTTAAAATTATATTAAATAATCAGAATGAAAAAACTTTTTAATTTTAATTTTTATAATTTTAATTTTAAAMGAGATATTGGTTTTTTTAAATGATATTGTCTTTGGTAAAAATAACAAATAACAACAACGGTTATGTTATTATGCAGTACCTACTTATGTGTTATGTGAACCCTTTATTTATATGGTTATACCTATGTATTTATTTATAATATGCAAATTGATTTCATTATATATATTATATGCAACGATGTTGCGCACAATGTTATTATTATACATTTATACAAGTTTATTTAGTTGCGCTGTATACAAGTCGATGTTTACTATTTTTTTCACACAACTGGACACCTGAAACCTCACAATATCTTGTCCAAGCATAAGCATTGAATAATTTTAATTTCTATGTGAACGTAATATAAGACTATAAGAGTACACTTTTATACATTTTTTTATTAATAGTTTCACCATTAAAAGTTTTAAAAAAATTATGAATTCGTACAACTCACGGGTAATATATAGATGATAGATGATTTTTTTGTTCACGATAGAAACATCAGTACATCACTGTAAATAATGTATAACTTATATTATATTCTTTTTTGACACGGCTATCGACGGGAACGACTAACTAGGTATAATAGTTGAAACGAAAACAATTTTATTGATAATACATTGATTCTACAGTTTTTTTACGTGAAAAATCTACTATATATAATATATATACATTCGTACCACTAGGCGATTAATATAACAAACAACAACCATTTATATGTATTATATTACATCGATATGTAACTAACGACGTAAAAAATCGTTAAGTACTTACAATTTATGATGCAATTTTGAAATAATAAAATGTGTATAATAATGATAAAATGTATAATAATTAATCATATAAATACCTACGTACATTTTTTACGAAAACGACTAAGTGTATTATAGTTTAACATAAATTTAGTTGATATTTTTGARTATAGAAGTTTCATGACATYAATAAAAATAAATATTTTGTGTATGCACACAATGTTCCAATATCTGAACCTGCAGTGGCGAAACGAACCTAAAATAACCCATAAGCAAACTTACAATTTACACACCCACTCACCGACTGTAGGCTATAGGTATATATATATATATATATATATACTTTAAATATATATATTTAAAGTATTTTTTTTTCAATAAACTTTTACCTCCAAACCTTAAAAAAAATCCAGAAGCAATCGCTTCTCAAAGACCACGGTCGTTTCGCCACTGATCTGAACCATGGTTCAGAAATTTTTGTACGAGCAACGGCCACCGGATAATAATATATTAATATGCTTTGATCACGGTGATAAAATATGGACAGCTTGCTGTAATAGGTACAGCTTATACGGCTATGCGTATCACCATAAATTGTAGTTGTAATTTTTATTTTATTCATTAATGACCTCCGAACACGTCACTGATTGATGATCTCTAGTGTACGGACGAATGGACGATCAACGAATTATTGTAGTGGTTAGTACTGGTTACAATAATGTACAATAACGCATAATAATAATATAATAATAACATTTTGTATAGATGAAAAAATTAACCGTGGATATTATARTGGATGGCGGTGACACCGTCGCGCCATCTGCCGGTAAGCTACGTAAGGTGGGGAGGTTGATTACTTTTGATAAGACGGCGTTCGACTACTTTAGTCATCCAAATATCCAATGAGAATGAGTCATTGCGAACGCTATCAAGACGGAATTTGACGATAAAAAAAAAAAATTAAAAAATAAGAATAACATTTAAATTAGTAAACATTGCCTTGTACTTTTGTAATTAATTTAATTAATAGGCGTTGTCGAAGAAATCGTTCAACAAGTAACGAGATTTTTTTCACGTCGACATCAGACGTTGATCGTTTGAAGCGGACACACGCCATTTCTTCAGGATCATGGCCGCAGTAATGAACAGACCGAAGGTATGTGTTGTGTGTGTTTTTAGTTTTGCCTGGGCAGTAAATTCTATTTTACTAATTGTGTTACAGGTTGAAGAGACCAACAAGTCGACAATGCGCACCCTCAATCTGAACGGACATGTAGGGTTTGATAGCATGCCCGACCAGCTAACACATAAGTCTGCTCAAAACGGCTTCGTGTTTAACATACTGTGCATTGGTGAGTTGGATTAATACACGATCAGACAGCTTAATCGTAGGTTTGACATGGATTTTTTGTTATGTTTTCAGGTGAAACAGGTCTAGGAAAATCGACTCTTATGGACTCATTATTTAATACCAATTTTGAATCCACTCCATCCACACACAATTTGCCAAATGTAAAACTCAAGGCTCACACTTATGAATTGCAAGAGAGCAATGTTCAACTTAAGGTAAACATTTTGGGTATTATTATTCTCCACAAATCAAAATATTAAACATCTATAGACTCACTTTGTAACACATTTGGTTATTAACTATTTACTGAAATGGTTTTATTATAATCTTAAAGAGAAAACGTTTTATGGTTAGCTTTAATTTTAGTTATTTTCAATAGTGTTATAACACACTTGGTTTTAGACGTTTAAATGTAGTTCAWATATAAGCCTAACAACAATCTACTGCCATAATTTTAATAATCAAAATAAAACTGATTTTGATGTTTTTTTTAAAATTCTAAACATAAATCTAGTAAAACTATTTGTCCAATAGTTTTGTCAATGTTCAAAATTTGGATGTTTATCAAAACTAAAAATGCACTAGGTACAAAAACAAAAACTTAGGTAGAATATTTAATTTCTAAATTTTGTCTAGTTGGCATAGTAAACAAGTACTTCAATCTGGTGCATTAACCATAAAAGGAAATAGGGGAAAAAATTTCACCTCATCAACTGATTTAAGTTATTTTTTTATTTCTATTAATGTGATAGTTTACAAGGTTTTCAATTTATAATCATATAAATAACAAATATCAACGTCAATTTAGTTATTTCATTAAATTGTAATCAAGCAAATTATCTAACATTAACAAATATAATATTAATGTTAAATGTATCAAGCATAAAAACAATTATTATTATCATATTATTATTAATGGTGTTTTAACTATATTTTATTTATTTAGTTGACGCTTGTTGAGACAGTGGGTTATGGTGATCAAATAAATAAAGAAGACAGTTTCAAATCTATTGTAGATTACATTGATACACAATTTGAATATTATTTACAAGAAGAACTGAAAGTAAAGCGTTTGCTGTCTACATATCACGACACAAGAGTTCATACCTGTTTGTATTTTATCTGTCCTACTGGACATGGGTATGTTATAACTTATAATAATCTTAACTCAAAATTTATTTTGTTTCTACTGGATGTTTAATATTATGTTTAAATGAGTAACACAGTGTTTAATGGTATTCTACCTAAAAGTCCGACAAAAAAAGACCCGTGAAAAAAAGTCCGGTTTATTTATTATACATATATCGTACAAGAAAACATTAATGTTATTAAAAATAATAGCAATAATTTATAATACAATTATTACAATCAATGTTATAGGTAGGTACAATAAAAATAAAAATGTTACATAAAATATGACATTATAATTTTTTGGTTAGGAATTCATAACTCCGAACTAAGTGTTGAAGAGTTTTTAACACAAGTGGGACATAATATTAGGACACGGCCTAGGTGATTAATGTTTTCTTGTATGACATGAAATTTTCTTTTTCTTTAAAAKTAACAATCAATCTGACCAAAAAGTTATAATGTCATATTGTATGTAATGTTTTAATTTTTATAGTACCTACCTATAATATTGATTGTAATAATTGTATTATAAATTATTGCTATTATTTTTAATAACATTAATGTTTTCTTGTACGACATATGTATAATATATAAACCGGACTTTTGTTCGTAGATTCATGTTTAATATATATATACCTATGTCATTAACCTATACTTGGTCCGTGGAGAGAATATGGTTACTTTGCGYGTTTTACTGGCACTGATTAGTAGTGAGATTTGGGTTGTTGAGGCCGGTATGTGTTTTGGTTTGTGTGCAACCACATTATTATGGCAAAAGGAATTAACAATATTTTAGTGGTTATTACCTATTATTTTATCATGATAGGTGCTATTCTCATTTTTTATTAATATTATTTTTAATTTCATATTTTATACTCCAAATGTTCTGAAAATAAAAATTTAAATACAATATAATAGTTGATTCACTTAGTTTAGAATTTGGTTTAGTAAACTATTTAATTTATAATGTTATTTTGTATATTTTATAGATTAAAATCAATTGATTTAGTGTGTATGAAAAAACTTGACACCAAGGTGAATGTGATTCCAATTATTGCTAAAGCAGACACTATCTCCAAATCTGAACTACAAAAGTTTAAGGTAAATTATTTTTAGTACAAAACATTGTTCAATATCTACCATAGTTATTTTTTCTGACTTACGACATTAAATAGTAACTTGTTTATTAGTCATCTTAAGAGGACACCACAGCTGCTTGCGGTGTTTCCTTCTCAGAAACTCAAAATACAACAAATTTTACATTCTTGTTAGGTTAAGAAGACATTATACCCACATGTGTTGTCTTCGTCTAACAAGTCCATAACATAACAAATTTTATGTTGAGCAGATCACGTTTAGCTCCGTGAGTTTAAAATTTAAAGTGAATTGCCCTATTATAAAAAATTAAAGGTAACATTAATATTGAGGGCTTCTTGTAGGCTTTTTATTATATTTTAATTTTAAAGCAAGTTATAAGTATTTTAAAATTGTAAATTGTTTGTAAATCTTAAAATACTCATAACTCGCTTTCAAATTAAAATATAATAAAAAGCCTAAGAGATTATTAATTCACTCTAAATTTTAAATTCACGGAGCCTAATGTGATCTTCTGAGTGTAAAATTTGGAATGTTACGCACTTGTAAGATGGAGATAACACATGTAGGCATAACATCCTTTTGAGATTATTGTTTAGAGTATCTCTGAGACTTTTATTAATATTTTAATTTTGAATCGAGTATTTAATAATAATAATTTATAAATAAATTACAGTTTTAAATTTTAACTAAACTTGCTTTGTATTTAAAATATTGATAAAATTCTTTGAGATACCCCTAATAATCTTGTCTTTAAGTTGTATAAGAAGTCAATTTACTCTAATTTAAAAAATAAAAAGGTTAGATGGACATTGTGAATATAAAATTTGTTATGTTATATATTTGTAAGGCTGAGATGAAATATCATGAGTTTTTAGCATTTTYTTAATTGCGTAGTGATAAAATATATTTACTGGTTAAATATTATTATACAGCCACAAAGGTGRAATTAAATCTTTATAGTTTTATTTTGGTAGATATCATACTAAACAATGCAATATGCAATAATTAATAGATAGTATACTGAATCTGTACCTTATTTTTAAGAAAATATGTTGTGATTGTGTACCTCTTTAAATATTATTATTATTATTAAAATTTAATACATTTCTTTTAAACTTACATAAATCAGACAAAAATAATCACTGAATTACGATCAAATGGAGTACAAATCTATGAGTGCCCTACTGAAGATGAGACTATAGCTGATGTTAACTCTAATATGAATTCTCATGTACCATTTGCTGTTGTTGGAAGCACAGATTTTGCCAAAGTTGCTAACAAAATGGTGCGTGCTCGTCAGTATCCATGGGGAACAGTTCAAGGTTAAAAGAATAATTTTAACATAATTTGTATTTTTTTTTACTGTTATACTAACTTGTTTAAATTATATTAACAGTTGAAAATGAATCACATTGTGATTTTGTTAAATTGAGAGAGATGTTAATTAGAACTAACATGGAAGATTTGCGAGAAAAAACTCACGAAAAACACTACGAATTGTATCGAAAAATGCGTTTGGAACAAGTAAATTTAAATTAAATTAAATGAATCAATGCATCTTGTAAACTGTATTACATATTTTATAGATGGGCTTTAGTGATGTGGACAATGAAAATAAGCCACTAAGTTTCCAGGAATCTTTTGAAGCAAAGCGTAGTCATCATTTACAAGAGCTGCAAAACCGTGAAGATGAAATGAGACAAATGTTTGTTGTTAGAGTAAAAGAAAAAGAAGCAGAATTAAAAGAAGCTGAAAAAGAGGTAACTTAAAATATTTATTGTGTATGATCAAGATTGTTAGTTTAACTAGATGATACAATATGGCTCCAATACATTTTGTCCAYGTCATTGTGATGGTACAATGTTTCATGAAACATTTAGTTTAAATTTATTATATATTACGTTATATTTTTTTTCTTTCGTAACTTATGCCTTCAAGACCATGTCGTTCAACAAATTCAACATTATATTACAATTTATAAATCAACTGCTATCTATTTAATTAAATTATATCCAATGTGAATAAATAATCATATAATGTATCAGTAAATTAAAAAATATACTAACAATACATAAAAAAATTCTATATGACTGATAAGAGATAACAGGAAAAATACTATTAATATTGAAAAAGATATAAATTGCTTTATCTGTTAAAAATAATAAAAACAAATTATGAGTGCTAGTAAATGTATTATAAATTACAATCACTTTATTCTGTAATTCCTTTCTATTACTAGCCAGTTATTTAAGAATGTATATTTATTTTGGCAAACTATAAACATAAATTAAAGTTTTTTTTTAGGTCAGAATATAAAAATATATATTTTTAGGTTGGTTAGATTTTTCCTGTCTTGGTTGTTCAACGTAAGTATATAACATTTAATATTTCTAAAAAAATTGTACTATGTTTTAGCATCTTTGTTCATGATTCAAATAAAATTAATTATTATTGTTATTTAAAATGTAATTATTAATATAATAGCATTTACATTAATAGTTAACTAATCATTCTCTATGAATCTTAAAATATTTTATTACTTCATAAAATACTTAATGTTAGAATGGGGCAATAGGTATTGACACACTATATATTTCTGTATTTTGATAAATTTAATAACATGAAATTCAGAATGATAAAACTCAAAAAATTTTGGTGATTTTCATTCAATCAATTATTTTGCTAGGTTTCTTACTGATAACTTAAATTAATTAATTATGCAGTTTTTGCTATCCTTGTAAGTTATAGCAGTCAGTCGAGCTATATATTGTTACACATGCCATACATTTAGAAGACTTGTTATGTATTTATRTGTGTGTTTCATGAAAGMAATAAGGAATATATAATATGAAATATTATGGGCTTGAGAGTGCGTTTTTAAGATCCTATTTGGACTGGTCAAAATTTGTCCCTCCCTCTATTAAAAATTTAAATGCTGTCACTGTTTTACGTAGAGTATTTTGAAATGTATTTTCCTGACATTGTTTAAAGTTTATTTGAGAATATAGAATTCTATTGCAGCTAATGTAAAGTTTTTCCCTAAAAACAATAAAATCAAAATCAGTCGAGATAATTTTGTCAATGGTTAAAATGGTTTGATTTAATTTTCTGTACAATTTATTGTTTGGCTTTCTCAATAGGTACATAACTTAACATAAGTTGCCTGTATTTTTGCAAATTTTTTCAATGAAAAAGCTATTTCCAACAATCAGCATACACTGGCCCTGATATAATAACTTAATACATTTATTAACATTTTTGTTATGGATATTAGTCTTTTTCAAAATCATTTTATAATCATTTATTAGTTTTTTGCATTATGCTAATTTTAAATTAAGTAATAGGGAATTTTCTAGTTATATTTAGTTAGCTYAGTTCATTCTTAATTATGTTACAATATATAGTTAAATGTTACTACGATATATAACTGTTTAATGTACATAATGTCATAACTTACTGTATAAAAAATTAACTTTCGATTGTTCTTCCTTCATGCTCTGAATAATAATTGAATAATAWTAATTGTTTGATTTTTAGAAGGGTCTCGCATTATATCCAGCTTTAATTAAAAATTCTCTATTGTATGCATTAATTATCTTTGATCAATATTTCATATTCTTTGTTTTAAAAAAAGAATGTCTATTTTTTTTATGATAATTTAATGACTTATGAAAAAAATATTTCATAGATACAAATTATAAAACATTATAACTTTATAACTACCAAGTATGCAATGCTGTTTAATAGAAAATGTKTATTTATCCTATATTTTTGTATGTCATTATATAAATTACACTATTAATATATATGTATTTCTGTTCAAACATTTTTAATTTTATTAATACAAATGTATGAATTGCAGTTACATGCCAAATTTGATAAACTGAAACGTGATCAAGATGACCAAAAGAAAAGGTTGGAAGAACAGCGAAGAAAGTATGAAGATGATCTTATGGAGTTCAGCAAAAGAAAGCAACAGTATTCTAGCATGGGACATCATACTCTCACATTAGGCAAGAGTAAAAAGAAATAAACKGTATTCTTTTAAGACAAATATGATAAATTATTGTAATTTTAATTTTATGAGATTTTGATAATATATATTATCATAAATTATTTTACATTTATTTATTAAACTAATGCACTTATTCATTTATCTATTCTATTCAGATAGTAAGAAATGAATTTATACTTACTATTTTGTATGAGATTAATCAATGTCAWTAATAAATTAATAAACAAATTGTAGATTTTTAACATTCCAATATTATAAAATTGAATGCATACTTAAAAAACTATTTTATAGTTATTATTATTTGCTATTATAATGTTTTATTCACAATAAGTATATTGTATATAATAGTGTTAAATGCTATTATTGTATCCAATTCTTAAAATATACTATTTCCTGTATTAGAATATGAATAGAGGTTATTGAACATAAACCTCCCAATGGCTATATCCAATTATTTTTATACTTCTTTATTTGTTATTATTTATTCCTTTATAAAAATTAATACTAATAAATCAAAATCCATTATATATAATTTTTATTCTTATGATAAAATATATTGTGGACATCACAACTACTTTTGTTTGTGCCAAATTTTAAATTCAGTCAAATAAGAATAGTAAATGTTTGTCTTCCTAAATATTTTTTTCCCTAGAAATAATTAATTAAAAATATTAACTACAAATTTTATATAGATTAATTTTTAATCGTAGTTATATTATTCMTAGAATTTTTTTTTGTAATTGATTTTTTTTAATGTTGTGCGTTTATTATTGTGTACAATTTTTTTTCTTCAATTGTTTGTGTTAACTGCAGTATTGGGAAAACTAAGATTGTAATAAATTGTGTATTTTGGTTTTAAATTAAATTTTTTACCTTTGTATCTACCTAGCAGATAAAACATAAAATGCTATTATCAAATTTTAATGTTTTAAATGGTCCAATATCTGCATTTATATACATGGTAATTGGATTTTGAATAAGAAATATTTTATATTATAGTCAAATCTGCAGTCTTTATTTTACCTAAGAATATAGACATTTTGTATCCTATTTCTCATTAAAATATTGTAAACTTATTACAATTTTTATTCATATTATTTATAGCTTTTGTGTGGTATAACTTTAATAAACATTTTTACAAATACATAACAATATCTAGCCCATTTAACGTCCTTGTTCAGAAACCGTATAAATCAATAACTATTAGCTTCCAGATTRTGTGCTCAAACTAATTTTCAAATAAATATTGTGACTAACTAATGTATTGTAAAATTATTTGGGTATAGCAGTTTGATGGTTTTTTGTCATAACAACAATGTGTGTTCAAACGTACAATGTGTGTATACAATACAGTATAGTTGATTAGAAGATGAACGATTCAATTTATATGTTGCACCAAAACAATTTTGACATGTGTATTGACTCATAGAAACAGCCAATGACATATTATGTCCATTGCAATATTGTTTTACAAACCAAAGAATAATAATAACTAAATAAAAGAAAAATTAATTATGATCAAATTAATTGTTTTTTTTTTGTTGTTGGCTGCGTAAGCATATTTAATATTAGTAACATCAGAGAAGCTTTCCATGATTGTGCAACATTTTGGTGGAATGATTCTTGTAGAATCTTTTAAAAACCGATTAAAAATTAAATCATTATGTAAACATCAGTTAGCAATTTTATATTGTATTTTCATAAATCATAATACCTACAATATAAGAATATTTGAATGCATTATATATATTTTATACCTCTCTTGTTGTTTAATTACTAATAATAAAATCTGCTCACCAATTCCATACAAAATATTTTAAAATATACCTAATATAAAATAGCCAATAAGTATCTTCTTGCCCCTTGATGATAATTTTATTAAATGDTTGTTATCAGTCATAGTAGTTCCATGATTATAATAATATATATGTGAAATGTGTATATTAATCATTATAATAGTCATCAACTATCATCTACCTTAATAAATAAAGTACCCCTTGTCTCTTGAGTTGATTTTTTTTTTTGATTTCTTCATTAACTCAGTTCATTGGGTTGACTTAGAGAGGGAACTGTCCATATAATAATATGTTAAACATATTATAGTAATCCAACATTTGATATAAATAGTTGTGCAGTTTTTTAGATGTTGACCTAGAAAAAGTGTGTTTATATCCTACATGAATGAACTTGACTTTAAGTTGTGTATTGTACCCATGTCCTCCCTTCTTCGTCTCACAACCTGAGGACGTCCATAACGTTTAATAAACCGAAAGTCACAATATCATTTACAAATCTACGTAGTAGCTGCATATCTATATAGGTACACATTATTTATCCATCGATGTAACCTATAAATCGGYCAAGGCTCGTTGCAAATAATTTCTATCTAATCTAATATTTAGTATTTACAGAAAAAATCGTGCAAGTACCATAGCCACGCAGCTGATATCGTGAGCGACAAGTGACAACCTTGTGGATAAAAATTATTGTCTTTCATACACCGTTACACCGTGTCTAGCGACAAAACTGAACAAAACCTTACACAACTATACTTAATCATTGGTAATAAATTCATCTGTAGCTCTATATTTTAAAATCAATATTATTCCGTGACTGTTCTGGCGTGTGTATAGGGCGGGAAACTGCTCTTACCGACATTTTTCAATAATGTATCTAATAGGTATTAGTATTAATGTTAATATTATTATGCGTTTGCGTTGGTATTAAATGTAAATTTTTTACTAAGAATGCAACATGGGGGTTAATGGGGCCTAATTATAAATATACAGTTGTATGTACGAAAATTTAGCCCATAGGTCAGGTCACCTAATGAAACTTACCCCCCCCCCAAGTATTTCTTAACTTGATCTCGTAGGCATAAGAAATAATTGATACGTGTCAATTGATATTTCTTCCTCGTTCTGAAGCAAATTTATGCCGATGATTTAATTCCAGTGCGACGTCTGATAATATTTTTGTTTAGTGCATATAAAATATTAACATATTATCATGTATATGTATATAAAATATAGGTAGCTACTGAAATACGTATCACGACTAGATATATTTTATTGAACTTTGAAATTTAAACACATCACAGTATAGGTATTTTTTAAATTTTTTTACCAAGAGTAATCAGATTACTTCGTTAAACCAAAATCGTATATAACTATGTAGGTATATCTACTTGAAACGTGACGCTCGAATTCATTTTTTATTTTTTTTTATTGAAACGACTGACTTTCAAATGTCCTTTAATATTGACCAAGCTTATAAGGATTGTAGCCTGAAGGTGTATTAGTGTAGGACGTAGGTTACTGTTTTAAAGTTAAAATTATGCGTACCGTGTAATAAATAAATAAATAATAATTATATATTACACATAACCGATTAAGAATTATTGGATCATGATAGTGGAACGCTACCAGCTACATAGGTAGGTATAGAAACGATATCGAATTAAAATGTTACATTGTCGTCCAACAACGATCTATATAAATATAATATAAATGATGGCAGTTATTGGCACTCTACAGAAATCGATATTCACCCATATCTTTTAACCACCTAATCCTAAGCAGCAACGTGAGGAAATTTATTATTATACTGTGCAGGATGCGCTATAAAGTAGTTTTGGATTTATTTGTCTATAAACTATTAGATTTAGAGCAGTGCAGTTGCAGTGTCCTAGTTATAGTTCTTATATACTTACTGTCCTAGTAAGTATATAAGAACTATATTGTTATATAGATAAACCGTAAAGTAAAAACCAAGCTTAATCTTTTATTGGATATTTTGTTTCGTACTGAAACTTTATATGGAAATTAAACACTCTGGAGTCTGGACTGACTAGTTTTAAATATTAGTTAGGCACGTGCATGGCACTCATTTGCCTAAAATATGATTTTCTCCATAGGTGGTGGATCGTTGAAAAAATATGTTTGACTGTATATTAACTACTCGATTATGTATAATTGTATTATATTTGTTTAGAACACAGACATTCCAAGCAGAGGATATATCATTATAGAGACTGCTGCAGAGTGTACATATCGTATGGTATGCCGTGGTGAAGGTTAAAGAAAACTCGTTATTTAAAAATGTTTTCGACTCTTCTCAAGTCTACCGTGTCAAGAATTATGCCGCACGCTCTCGGACAGTCATGTTATTATTATCTGGTGTTATAGCACAGAGACACGTCGCTAGAATTTTTTCCCTTATAATTCCGATTCTGGTTGTAAAAAAAATCTCTTGAAACGATAAAACTATAATTCCTCTTCCTCTTTGAGATACAATCATATTTTAAGGGCTTGATAATATCGCGATGGCAAGAAACCGTCGAAATCGGTCACCCGAGCTGGTCGTGATGCATATCACGCACACACATGTGTAGGTAGTAGGTACCTAYAGGTGCCCGATGGCTACTATTACTGTAGCGAAATGATATCGGTCTCACGTATGTATGCGTACCTATTTAATATTTTATTTAGAAAAATTCATTCGCGTCATACCGTCTGGACCGAGGGCAACTTTTCTGCGAGTGCAGTGCTGTGATTAACCTGCAACAGTCGGTTGGTATTACGTCTTCCGTATAGCTGTAGAACGAAGTAAGCTCTGCCTCTCTATGGCTTTATGTACGTATATTTACCTAAATCATTGATTAACATAGGCGCGCGCACGGGGTATGCAGAGGATATGCCGCTGCATTATAGTCTGCGGCTTCACCCGACATGCCCATGTTTATCATACCAAAGCATTTTTGGTAATATCTTATATTATAGTATTTAAAAAATGTTTTTTTAGTTGTAAATTTACTCGCSACCACTTACCAGCAAGATAATCCAAACTATAGACGTAACAACTTTATAAATATTTTATCATTATTTAAACACATTCAATACAGCACAATATATATGTAAGTAACTATACTTAATCTTTGAGAAAWAATTCGTTTTATTTTAATAAATATAATTCAAATTTCAAACTACTCATTTCTATACAATGCATTGTTTAATATT